TTTTTCTTTCTTTCTCTTCTCTCTTTCTCTTTCTCTCTTTCTTTCTCTCTTTCTTTCTCTCTTTCTCTCTCTCTTTCTCTCTCTCTTTCTCTCTCTCTTTCTCTCTTTCTCTCTTTCTCTCTTTCTCTCTTTCTCTCTTTCTCTCTTTCTCTCTTTCTCTCTCTCTCTCTCTCTCTCTCTCTCTCTCTCATATTCTTTGCAGAGAAGATGGCAAATGTTTGAATTTGAAATGGACAGGCACTGACCTAACTGGTGAGAGAGTATCAGTGTTGTTTATCAGCAGTGACTTCCTGTCCAAGTTGGTAATACCAGCTCTCCACACCTGACAGGATGCGAGATCAGTTGTGGAAGGGTGCTTGCCTAAGAAGCAGCCTTTATGTTTGAAAATCTGTTACATTGTTACATCAGGCAGATATGAATTGCAGAAAAGGTCTATTGCAGATGCATTGATTTTTTTGCAAAGAAAGTGGTAGTGTTTGTCCAGTGTGCATAATCGCATCATTCATCTTTAAGATTTGAAGTGATTGAATTAACAACATGGCCAAGCCTCTTGTCAACACCAAGAAGTGGGATCAAAATGACTTCCGACTTTTGGTAGTCCTGCTTCTTACTGTGGTCTATCCCGTTTTTGTTTTAGCATTTTTTGCCCTTTATGTATTTGTTTTGTTACCCCTGATGCTGGAGGACTACTACGGCCTTCCCCCTTCAGTAGAAATACCGCATCAAGATGGCTGGTATCACTTTTATTGGCTCTTTGTCTCACTCCTATGGTTGATGTTGTGTGCATTTATTTTACCATGTTTTCAAGACAAGAGGAAGCCTGGTGTGTCAGCTATTGGTATGGAAATCCGAGAAAGCCCTGAATTTCCAACTAAGACCCATGCTGTACAGCCATATTTAAAGGTTGAGGAAACCAATGAAAAGGAGCGCTTCAGTATCCTGACAGAGAAATCTCGAGGTTCAAGTGCAAGCATCGAGAAGGGAGTATGTGAAGAAAAGGCTGACAAGGAAAGTTTAGAGAAGTCCAGAGAGAGCTTGACGGAGACCAACAGCTTGCAGAAACGCAGCAAATTAGTGGAATCGGGGGAATTTCTAAATGAATACATTGACACATTGGACTACAAGAACAAGGAGCAGGCCGAGTGTGAAGTCCATGTAGAAAAAAGCAAGGAAGGGAATGACACTGATTCTGACAGCAGTGCAGATGAGAAGCCAGACAGCACTGATTTGCACAATCGTTCAGTAAACAAGGAGGACTCATCTGATGATGAAGACCAGGCATCCCCAGGGAAAAAGGATGAAGAGAAGGAAAAAGAAGAAACTGTCATCGAGCCCATTGTCGTGCAAAAAGGATATGACAAGCAGGAAGCAATCCCACTGAAGGAGGCATACATTAAGGACGACAACCCTTCCGAAGACAGCGAAGAAGCAGAGGAGCTGAAGGATTTGGAGAGTCCTGTCACAAGGAGGAAGGCACTCCCAACAATCGACACATCAAAGGCAAACGAGAGCTATGAATGCAGTATGCCCACCCCAAAATCGGCAGTAGATAGTGCTAAAAGAGAGAGCAATGTGGTGTTCCTCTTTGTAAACCCAGACACAGTCGATTCTGAAGAAGGTGTGAAGGTGGTGCATGCTGGTAAGGTTGAAGAAGAAGATGATAATTGAAAAAAAAAAAAAAGTTTTTATGGGTGGAGCTAAAGTATTGTGCCTTTGCAACTTGGAAAAATGTTTATTATTAGTCTTACAAGTGACCACTGATACAGACAGTGAATATTCTATAAGTAAACAAAGCTTTGTATAATTGTGTTAATATATGGTACTAGACAATCTTGGCGTATATGAAACAACAGTGACTGTAGTGAACCTTTTAAAGAAAGAGTGAGAACTGTGTGTACAATGTAAGCATTAGTTATCTCCTTTTCCTTCTCAAAATATCTTCTTTTTTATTATATTAACCTGATATTGATATACATGAGTATGACTAGTACTTTCAGCAATTTAGATTTCAAAATTTGTTGCTAATATATCTTTTACTGTCAGCTTACATGATTATTTCATTGGCAGATGAGTGTGTTTTGCTGGAAACTCAAGTAGTGTGCCGAGAATTGCCTCTTCATATCCCCCCAAGGGGTGTGATAGCAGATATGGCCTCATCAGCTTCAACACCAATCTCGGTAAGATAACCATAAAAGTCTCATTTTTTGCTCCTTTATCTCTTTCTATCCTTCCATTCTGTCTTTCCAGAAGGTTAGTCAACAAGAACCTTAATGATCAAAGAAAGCTTCAACTGTTGGGTGACCATGGGTACTATATAAAACATTTGTCAATAATTAATAGTTTATTCATTTGAAATGAAGCCTGAATGATTGTTCCATATTGCAGTATGAGTTTGGGCAAAGTGAAGGCAATCACGTATCCAACAACAATACTCAAGCTCGCATTCTGGAGGGAGCATTGCCACCTCTACAGCAGCTTGACCCTCTCCACTACCACTACCTTGCTGCTCAGGAACCAAAGTTTAGCTGTACCAGGTCAGTGTTTTTGTGTTTTTATTTTTTTCTGTTTATTTTTATGCATGTTTGTATGTATGTTTCTCTGTCTGTCTGCCTGTCTGTCTGTCTGTCTGCTTGCCTGCCTGCCTGTTGTTCAGCAAGGGCCCTAAACTTCTTGCACTTCAGGACTGAGATGGTTGCAGGTCAATTCCAAATCCTGACTACAAAAGTGAAAGTGCCTGTGCCTTGGTTGATTAACTATAGCCTGTCTGTTTATGAAGACCAAGTTTTTGAAGTGGAGCTGGTTAAATGGGGCACTGAGAAATATGGGTTTATAATTAGCTATTAATTAATGTGTGCAAGAAAATTTATTTAGTAACAAAAGTATAAAAAATGTAGTTGTAATTCTATACTCAAAAAGACTCCCATTATAGCTAAATAACAAGTAGACAGGAACAGGATATGTAAATGGGTTTGAGAATGTCATATTCCTTTCACATGAAACGCCTCATAACCGACAGCTTCTAAATTTCAGGTGCTGCAGTGTGCGTGGAAGCTGGTGGGGAGAAGGAGAGACCGTATGGGAGCAACAGTGGGCCTCCAATTGTATTTGCACTGGCCACTGGGCCCATTGTCCAGTAGCACCTAGCAAGGCTGCATAAGACTGCTGTAGCTTGAAAAGGAGCTGTCTTATCTCCTTTGTATAAGGGGTGTAAATTGTTATTCCAAAGAACTTTTTTTTTTCCTTTTCTGATGAACAGTACATATTAGCAGTTCCCTAATCATTTGATGTCTTATGTACAGTAAATAACAGTCACTGATGATTCAGATATACATACTTGATATTCCAGACTAAAAAAAGTGAAACAGGATTCAAATATATAAGATTATTTTCTTCCATCTTAATTTCTACTAGGCAGAATGGATGACATCAAACTTACCTAATTTTCTATAAGGAATCAATCACCATTTCATGGAAACCATAGTACGTGGCGAATTTTAAACTGTGCGTCAATCTAGTTGCATGTGATCCTTCAGAAGAATGTCTGGTAGTAAGTGTTGGAAAAGTCAGCAAAGTACAAGCTAAGATTAACAGTGGTTCGAGATGGATTTCATTCATGGCATTGCTTATTCTTCATGTTGCTCTTTTGTATTGCAGTTATCTTTGCAAGGCATGCTTGAAGTATTTTGTTTTAGTTTAATATGATTTATGTATTCATTTTCCAAGTGTTCTTGATTTGTAAATATTTTTCCCAAGTAGCAGAGGCAATAGTACTTTTTCTTATTTCCTTATTTATAGTGAATAGTAGGATAATATTCGGAAATATTAAAGAAGCCACACCAGTGAAGATGTTTTGGAGTTGCAAACTTCAGTCATGAGGCTGTATGGTATAACTTGCTCCTCATTATCTCTTTATTTCTTGAAGTTATACGAGACATGTATAGAAATGTTATTGACTACTTGGTACACACACAACACATACACTCATTAATCAGTCAATCAATCAATCAATCAATCAATCAATCAATCAATCAATCTCTCTCTCTCTCTCTCTCTCTCTCTCTCTCTCTCTCTCTCTCTCTCTCTCTCTCTCTCTCTCTCTCTCTCTCTCTCTCTCTCTCTCTCTCTCTCTCTCTCTCTCTCTCTCTCTCTCTCTCTCACACACACACACACACACACACACACACACACACACACACACACACACACACACACACACACAATTTGGTATTTGGTGTTATTTACTTTTTCTGTTCCCTCTAATTATTATTATTAAGTATGATTATATTACAGGAACATTGCCTTTCATCATCAGAGATATTATCAGTGGTTCATAAAAGTAAATTTCACAGTACATTGTATGTTACCATATTACCATATTACATTCTCCACTAAAATGTTTTTTTTTTTGAGATTCATGTATGTGATCATATTGCTTTGTGATGTAAAATATTTTATATGTTTGTATCCTCAATAAAGGATATACATGAGCAGCTAGATTTTTTCTTAACCCATTGGCGCCGGGTGTCACGTACGTACATGCCATGGCTGTTGTGGACCAAACGCCGGGGGCATCATGCCATGCCCATTCCCGCGCTACTGGCTCGTCGGACGGAGGTTGTTTTTCTCCAGTAGTAGCAGCTTCATTTATATGGTAAAGATTTTAGGCAATGGTACCTAAAGTGAAGGTAAACCTTCAAAATTTTAATATTTTTATAAATTTTAGCAAAATAAAAGCTTTTAGGTGTTATATGTCGCTCGCAAACTACCGATCAAGCCGGCCGCAAACAGGGGAAACAGCTGGTGCGCGCCAACAAGCCGGTGCATACGTAAACTTGACATAATTTTTACCCGTCGCTGATGGGTTAACCCATCAGTGACGGGTACATCTAGAGCTATCATGACATAATGGCCTAAGACGTATATATGCATCATGACTCGCAATGGGTGGGCTGGCTGCACACAGCTTAAGCCTAACCACAAAGTCTAGACTGTTACACAATTTCACATAACAAAAAATTCATGCTCCATTATCATAGGGTTAACCGTATCATTATTTTAGCTATTAAAGTATGTTCCTTCTATAGGGATTCCAATGAGTTATGTCAGATATTTGTATAGGAAAAAGAACATGTAATCCTGTTTCTATAATTTTTGGTATTTGGTGAATTTTTAAAAAATATCCTGGCACCCGTTTGATATGGGTGGGAGAGAATGAGCTCATATGTAGTTTTATCTTTATCAAAACTATTTTTCTATGTAAGTTAAAGAACATTACAGTATCATGAAATGAGGAATCATATGAATAATAGACAATATATAGTCAATAGAAAGGATTATTGTAATAACATTCTCTTTTGCTCTTTTTTCACAAACAAGAAATATAAAGAAAAGCACTTTATACAGCTTGCTACATCACATCACTAGTCCGTGTTCTTATTACTATGATGACACATGTGCCTGACTACAAGCTGGAGAATCACACAAGCATGGAGTGCCATACACTGTATGTTTCCTCACCAAACTTTGTTGAAAATTTACCAATTGCCAATGGATTAACTCACTGGTGACAGGTACATGTACTATCCACTCTGGTTGTGTTTTATCAGTTTTGTTTACACATAGATGGGTTCACAAGTGCTTAGGCACCAAGAAGTCAATGACCAGACCAACAATCTTTGATTCCTTTTACCCCCTAATCCTATGCCCGTTGTTATTGTGGGAGGGAGCATAGGAGACCAGGACTGAGCTAATGTTGGGGATCACCCCTACTTGGGCCTCAGCCCTAGGGTTAACTAATTTTGCATGGTCTTTTCTTCCCCTTTCCTTTTCCTTCTCTCTTCTTCTATCTACTTCCTAAGGTATAAGCACCATGCTGAAAGGATGAAAGGCTGGCTTTGTGTCAGTCCTGAATGGTCTTGGGAAGCCATGGGCACATTAATCCCCTGGTTAGTTGCCTTACCTTTATCCCTCATGGGAATCCTGAGGGGTAACACATCTCTCTTCCTCTCTCCCAACACACCCCATCCTCCCTGTCTCCACATGTACCTCCTCTTACCCCATTATCCTTACCCTTCCCACCTGGAGGCTCACATTCCTGTCTGTCACAACAGTCTCCTACTTCAAAACCTTCCCCTCCTGACATTTATGATACTTCTCCTTCCCCTGTTCTCTTATCTCATTCCCTGGAGTCTTCTCTTCCAACTTCTTCAATACCCATTTCTACCCTTATTACTTGCTAACTGATTCATAATAGCCTTATTACTCACTAACTGCTTCATAATAGCCTTGTTACCCACTAATTGCTTCACAATAGTCTTATTATCCACTAATTGCTTCATAACAGCTTTCTGCAGTGTTCTTCAAACAATGTTCCTCTTCCTTCCTTTGACACATAGATACTCTCCATTTGATGTAATTGCCCTATGCCCTTAACCCCTTCCACCTTCTACTAATCCCCACTTTACTCCACTTGCTCCCCTTCTTTACCCTCTTCACTACCACACTATCCTGTAGCACTCTATAACCTTTGACATCAAACACATTTCATCCTAACTGTTAAATAATTTATGATTTTTCACAATACTTTACCATAGTGCTATAAAACCTTTGATGTCTAGTACATCTATCTGTTCTAATCATCAACCATTTAACCCCTTTGCACCAGATGGCCTGATAGGACATCATAATTCAAAAAAGTTTGTACTTTAGCCAGATGATGTGAATAAACTTCAGACTACCACATATGTACAACTCAGGCTTCATAAAACATAGTCTGTAGAGAATTTAAGCTTGTGAAAATGCCGATTGTGCAATTCTTATATTTTTGTATATTGTTCTTACCGTTCTTATAGAGAATAGGACCGCAGTACTTGACCTTACACAAATTTTGGCACACCTAACCTATCATGAGCTCGCCTGTCGTGCACAGTGACTTATGGCTAGCAAGAAAGCCAAAAGTGTGGCCAAAATACCCTGCAGCAACAGATTAGTTTTAAGACAAAATTTTTCTATTATCCCCATCACTGACATATTTTTTATTACTATTATTATCATTATCATTATCATACCATTGTTAATAATAATATCAGTAATAAAAATACATGTTTTTCATAAAAATATATAAACAGGTAAGATATGCCTAAAAACTGACTCCTTGCTGACAATCTATTTGTGAATCCACATATAGATAGATAAAATTAATAAAACAAACTGAAAAGTACAGATTTACATGCACTGCTGGCATGAGTGGGTTTTAATTGATTAATCAATCAATAAAATGGAATAAATCCATTATAAATGAAAAAATGTTGTTTTCAGTAATCAGTTTGATGATAAAAAAAATATTTATAATCAATAATCGTAAGGCTCTTTTTTACAAGAGAGTGACCTCTAGGAACAACAGATGACCATAATATTACAGTCTATCACATTTTATATAAATAATTATGTAAGAAAACTTGAATCCTGAGCACCAATGATTTTTTTCTCTATTTTTTTACATGCACTTATCCTACATTTTTAGGTACAAAATATATGTAATTCCATATACATTTTGGTGAATTTTACAGCTAAAAGTAGGAAATAAAATAAAGAAATAAATACATTTCACTTCTTTACATTTCATATATTATAAAATAAATAAATAATGAAAAATACTATAGATAACAATGTCATTATAATAATTATCAAATTTACACTCTAATTTATCTGAGAAGGTTTAAAGTTACGAACTCTGATTATTCTCCGCATCATGAAGGATTAGCTGCCAGCTGAGTCCAGAACTGTGAAAGCCGCGTACACCACATTCGCCAATAATGTTCACAATCACTTTTGCTAAGGATGTGAATGTGTGCTGGTAAACCTGTGTCATATGCCACAACTAACATAGCTGACTCAATCTGAAATCAAGAAATCGTACCAGTTACTTGAAGAACTGAACAAAAGTGGTAATACATGCAAAAGATTTTTTTTAATCAATAACAAAAGACCAACACTATTTTTCATTGTTCATTTTATCTAGACTGATTCTGTCAAATCTGTTCAATCATAAAGATAACAATAGGGTCTGCCAGTTTGAAATATGACTAACTGCAAAAGGATAACCCATTGATAATAAAATATTTTCTGTACGGATTACCTCACCTTGGGGCATGCACAGTAATAGGAAGGTCATTTAAGGTTAGTTCAAACTACAGTAGAAAATATGAGTAAGTGACTGACTGAGAGTGATTTGCGTGCATGCATCACTTAGTGAGGGAATGTGACAGGAATACTCACAAACGTGCATGGTACAGGCACTCTTACCATGCTCATACCAAACTGTTTGGACCAAATCAAATTATTCTATTCCCCCCGCAAAAAAAAAATATTCAAAATTTCAGCTCAGCCCCTAAAGAAATGATTAGAAGGCTCAACATGACCTCCCCTGATTTTCCCATTCCTTGGATTTTTTTCTTTTTTATGCTAATGCTATTAATAAGAAACTGTTATCATTATTGACATTATAATTATTATAATGTTATTAAAATACCAATAGCAATAAAAGATAGGTGCGACTAACAATTGACTCCTTGGTGACTAAGTACTTGCACAGCAATCTGTGTATAAACAAAATAAAACCAGAAGACATAACATTTGTGTCATACCATCCCAGCACAAAGGTTTCAGTATTGAAATTAATTAAAATAAGCTCCCAGAGAAACTCACCGGCTGCCTTAGCCTGTAGTTGCCATCAAAGTTTAGGGCACCAAGGTAGGCTACAACTTGCAGGGGATCATCAAACATTGATTTCACTGATAATTTGGTTTCCCCGATGTCTTCCATTCTATGAGTATGGGCATACCCCTGAAATAGTATATAAAAACGTTAGTTATGTATGTGCATCTGTTTGGGATTCCTTACATTAGCGTGGATATGTGTGTACTTGTTTATTTGTTTGTCTTATTGTTTGTTTGTTTATCTGTGTATATGGGTGTGTTTTTACACACCTTTAAACCTACACATCTGTTATGCACTTTTTCTATGTCCATTCATTAAAGTCCAAATCTATGATTGATTCTTTAAATCAGTTTATTTTATGCTCTACCAAATCATAAGAAACAAATAGGACATAATTATAACTGACTTGTGCATATAACTGAAAATCATTAACATTTTTTCCAACTTATAGAAGGGGCAGAGAGATGCCCACAGACATACGCACACATACGCACACGCACACGCACACGCACACGCACACGCACACACACACACACACACACACACACACACACACACACATATATTTATAACAGGAAAACAGTGAGCAGTATAAACTGAATTCATTCTCTAATAACTTACTTGTAAGAACCAACACAATCCACAGCTCCCTGATAGTACAGATAGGGGTGAATGATGCGACTCTCCAACACCTGAACTTCTGACACATTCGGAATAACATGTCTGACGCTTGTCCAGAATCCAGAAACTGCTTGTGTCTGATCAGAACTCAAGGTCATGCCACTTAGCTCCGACTGGATACACCCATGAAGCAGTTTCCCTCGATCCAGTAACTCTTTGGGGAGAAAGAGGTCAAATACCTATGTGTATCCATATCTCTTCCACGAAAGGAAGAATTAGGAAAATAACGTCTTGAACAACTATAAAAACTTGGAAATCCTTCATATGTTTCCTGTATATTCATACAGAGCTTATTAACAAAAATCTGACACCTTTATTCAACAAAGATATCAAATACATTCGCCCTTGTATACATGCTTTACTCAAGTGCATCAATTCAGATATTGCTGAAACAAAATAAGAAAATGCCAATCATACCTTGCCTATACTTATTAAAGCCTTCTTCTCCAAGTTCCTTAATCATCTTGGCCTTCCACTTCTCTAGAGCGATTCTATTGGGCAAGGGCATTGTCGCATCCAAGATCTTTCTGACACTTGGAAGTTTCTGATAACCCCCATCGAACATCCCTATTGTCGTTATGGTTTCCAGAGACGAGTCTAC